CACCACTGCCAAAACACATGTAACTGACTACAACAAAACACAGAATCACAGTTTTGTTGCTACTTTAGTTGCTTCTTCACTTAGCATACAGGAATAACTGAATATTTCTCTTAAATGTGCCACAAATGTCTTTTAACAATGTTTTGTAGTAACCGAGAGAAGTGTCATCGCAGAAGTTCTCCAGACAGCTGTGAACAGCGAGCAGTGCTTGGAGTCAGACAGTAGACTTCATCTTTATTATACTTCTCTGACTGGACTAGCAAGGAGCAGTTAGAGTCCATGAGAAAGTAAGTTCAAGTACATGTCTGCACTGAGCATGATTATACTATGTAATATAATGTTTTCTGCAATAATTGGGGGGAATCTTAACTGAGGAGACAAACTGACCAACAGGAAGCTATGGATCTATTGAATGTGTATTTTTCAAGCATTTTATTGTGGCATTCACTGTTATTTTTCTGCACAGTGATAACTAGTGAAAAGTGTTTCCTACCAATTTACTTAAAAGTACAGTTAACCCAGAATTCTGTCATCATTTACATTATTACCTCAATTCCCCCTAATTTTTTTTTCAAACCCCTGACTTTTGTTTTTATGCAGAAGAAGATACTTTAAAGAATACTGGTAATCAAAACCAACAGGTTTGTCACGTGTAGACGACATAAAGGGAGTAAATTATTTTCATTTTTGAGTAAACTTGCACAATGACCCACAATGAGCAACAACCAAGAACAGTATTCACTGATTACCTTAAAAATTATTCATAGTAACAGTTAGGTAATAATTATTTCAATTATTTTACCAAGTACAAAATGTTTAATTCAAAAACTTTGCCATTTACCAATGTGTTTCTCAAAACACCTTTTAAATTTTTAATGTTTTAACCTTTATTAAATGTTACAGTCCAAGTGTACATATAAATGCCTCATTCATTCAAGTAAATGCATGGGTAATTTTGCAAAATGTTTTAAATATTTTATTTACACTTATTGTATAACTGCTGTTTTTGCTGTAATTGCATGGTTTTGTAAATAAATTGTTTTGTAAATACATTTTCCTCATGCCAGCTTGGTCAAGCTAGTTATTTAATGGACTTTAAAATTGCTTTCATAATAATGAGATGTTTATAGATTTGTTAAGTCATATTATTTATGTGTTATAATCTATATAATTAAAATGAAAGTAAACGTTTTGTCTAGGTAACGTTATTAATTTTAAATGAAATATTAATGAACAGTACCGAGTAGATATAGAAATGCAGCTGTGCTAAGTCTGGTGTGCTGTGCAACGGGCCGAGTCCCGTGAGTGTCGGCAAGTTACGGCTGTCGCATCTGGTCCGGTTGATTCGGCCCAGAATCTGAAAGTGAGTACGCAAGCATCCAGGCCGGGTGCTGCAGATGGATCCGGGCCGATGGACAAATCTCCAGCAGGTGAAAATTTAACTGAAAATGGCCCGAGTGTATGGAGAGGGATTGTGTATGAGGAAGATGTAAACAGCCTATCAGCAAACGTCAAGTTGGTAAGTTTTCACTAGACTTTAGTGGAGTCAGCAGTTCGCTTGACAGTAAATAAGGATCTAATCCTAAAGTATCTAGTTTTCCGTTGTTGGTGAAGTGTTACTTTGGTTTCCGATTACCAAGGAGAGGCTACGCAAGGTCCTAAAGATGGCGGCCGCAACAAAAAAGTCACGTGACTGAAACCCATGAATACAATCCTAACAGATTATTACCTAACAATCAAAATTGCTGCTCTCTACTACAAAAGAGATCCTAGTTTGTGGACACTGTAGTTGGGGCAAACACCCCTGTGGTTAAGCTAACTATCAACACATCCTTGCTAAAATTATTATTAAAAGTATTAGAAAAGCATAAGTAATTAGATAATTAGTGCTCTCTAAAATCATAGAAATCACACATTAACATGTCTTTGCCACCAGCCATGGCATAATTATCTTTGCAAGCTTAGCGTTTGTTCAGCTTAGCATCTGGACTCACCCACTCTTCCCTCCATCCACCCTGGTCTTGTGGGGGATCCTGCCCCAGGTTACTTTTGCATCACCACTAGCCTTCTTGCTTGAACTAACAGTAAATGTTAGGCCTTGATTAAATGCCTTTTCCAGGCAGGGCAATAAACTCCGACCCTTTGGGTCGAGTGGCAGATAAGCCACAAATTGACCACCCTCAAATGGTGACCCAGGACAGGGATCCTTGTCCTAGAAGATATGTGTAAGAATGAAATTACAAGGCGATATTATATTATAATAATATTTTGTATATTTTGCACAATAGTAAGCAATATGTCTTGGATGCTTTAATTAATAAATTGTATAATACCCCTTGTATGCCATCAGATATGCAGTATGTGATCTTGGCCGTTGTGTATTTGTTATAGCCTGGAAGATTCAAAGTCATCTCCACACATCTCATAGTGCCTTTGATGCCCTTTTGTTCTTTGCTGTCCTCTTGTCCTGAATGCTGCTCTCGAGTCTGATATTCCTGCTGTGTATCTTTTGAGCTACAACTTTGAACCAGATCCCCCAGCACCTTCTTCTGAGTATTCATCTCCTCTTTTCCACACACTCTGCAGTACTTATGCAGTTGTAGGCAGTCAGAACAAAGGATGACACCACAGGTGGTCCGTTTCACATTTGTATTATTTGCTCCGCACATGCATTGCTCTGAAGCAGTATGTGACAGCAGGTTGGTCTGTTTCAAAGTCATTGAGGTATCTTGTTTTTTGTGTGCTTCAAGTGGTAAAGAAGTTGGCCCATCATCTTTTTGTCTTGTTGCGTCTTCTCTGGGTTTAACAAATTGGCTTAGTGCATTTGTCTTGCTTAATTCATCCTTAGTAGATCTAGGGTTTTCCAACCTTTCCAATGTAGCCGTTTTTGGTTTGGTTGACTGACCTCCACAACTGCTGTTAGACTGAACCACTTGACTTGTATCCTGAAAAGAAAGCTCATTTAGTCTTTGTTCAGACTTATAGTGATCAGCTTTTGTTGACCATATGCCCAAAGAAGACTTGGCTGTTCCCTGATCTATACCCTCCTGCAAGGTCTTCATCTGTGGTAAGGAAGGAGACTGCTGCCCAGGATATACTTCCTTAAATATATCACTGGCTTGTGAGCAGAGCAATTTTGGGCCAAGCAAGTAAATGCTGTTCTTCATGGTGTGCAAGATGACTTTGCGAAAACGTGACCGCACATTCAAGCAGCAGGTTTCAAACAGTTTATCTTTTTCAACTATGCCAAGCCCTGTCAAACTTAACTCCTGAATGCAAAAGTCGCTGGCTACCGAAGCCACTAGATTCTGAAGCTGCCGATGACTTTCTCCAACCTTTGATGAATCTGTGCCCTTCAGTGTCACGCTCATCTCACTTTTGCCTGCTTGTTTCTCAGTCATTTGCAAGCCAGATTTCATGGAGTCCAGTTGGTTGCAGTAGACCTCCTTCATGTAGCTCCACATCAGACAAGACACAGTAAGTTCTGCTTCTACTGTAGGAATCTGACAATCGTCATTGGGTTTTCCGCCACTGAGGCTATTGGATCTTGCTCTTTGATGGGCATATGCACTAATCATTGGCTTAGCTGATTTCTGGTTATTTTTCACCTGATCTTTTAGGTGTGGCCGACTTGAGAAACTATTGGCTCTTCTTAAGGGGGATTTGGAAATGGGCAGTGATGTTGAGGAGGGAGCAGCTGTCTTCACTTCAGCATTACTGGCTGATAGGGCATTCACACTTGTGTTTACTGAAACTTTGACTCCTGTGGCCAGTGTTGAAGTGAGTACAGCGGGAGTAGTTGGTTTGGCCTTGGATGTGTTGAAGGTGGTTCCACCAAATGTATTCACAGATAGCGGGTCTTGGTTTTTAAACAGGACATCCTCTTCTCTACAGCTTGGACTTGTCATCCTGAATGTTTCAATTCCTTCCCCTGTCAGTTCATTACTGAGTACGCCTGCAGTGCCAAGCAAAGACCTAATGGGTGGTGTTGGGTCTAACATTAGCATGTCCATTTTAGCCGTGAAACTCCTTATGTCTCCACCTATCTCTCCTAGCCCAGAGCTCTTAAACCGTGCCGCTAGTTTGTATTCTTTTGTATTCCCAACCTCTCCTTTTCGTTCAGTGCTAGAGCCGATCAGTTTAGGGGGCACTGGAGTGTGTACTTCACTTTTTCTCTTAACCTGTTGCTCTCTCTCCAAGGATTCAAGGGATGCTGATGGAGAACTGGAAGAGGATGGTGGCATTTCTGTCAAGTTCGGCATCACGTCTTCCTCCCTCCCAAGCAGTAGCATTTGTTTGGCCTGAGATACCTCACTTTTCTCCCCAACTATATAAATGCTATCCTGGTCATAGCTAAGCAGAACATTAGGCAGTACTAATTGCACCTTTTTTAATGCTGAAGTCAGTCCGTCTGGCATGTAAAGAGCACTCTTTTGAATCTGGTCTTTTCTCAGACAACCCTCTAACTGTTGGTAAAGCTGCCTCAGCTCCTTATGGGCTTGATGCATGTTCTGTTTAACCCCTGACCCGGTCGGGACCTCTGACTGTAGGTACAGGGTGGTGACCCCCTCGGATGTAACATGAACCACTTGCACTCCATGAAGACACAGTATCTGCTTGTACTCCTTAATGCTCTGCAGGTACGCAAACGCATCAGCTTCCATGATGATTGAAAGATCTTCCAAATTAGCTTCATCTATCCTGCACTCTGCCCCCTCCTCCATTTTGCTTTTCTTAGTCCGAGTACTGCGTCCAGTGAGAGCTTCATTGTTATCTTGCAGTCCGTAGTGTCCTAAACCTGCCGTGGATATAGAGCTGACATTTCCTGGTGACTGCGATGCGAAGCTGGCCCATTTCTTTACACTTGCAAGGTCTTCCCTCTTCTCAAGATTTTGAACTCTGTCTCCACTAAAATTAGGATATTCGGCTTTTGAAAGGTGATGATTAAATAACGTCTGCATATAAGGAAAGGCGCCTTGAAAATCAGAGTAGCTGCCTTGCAAGGTGCACGTGTCCTGTAATAAGCCACGTTGCGTACGTAGACCTGGAAACTCACTGCGCAGCACATTCAGAGTCTCTGCACCCCGAGGAAGCTGACTGCAATCCATAGTCACAGTCATATCGAGGATCACCTGAAGGAGTGCAAGAGCATCAGCTGTGTGACTGTCAAAACAAAATGAACACTACACTAGATACGATTGGGAAATGGAACTTGTATTTTTTTAATAAGTTATATGGTCAGCAAACCTTATTTAGACTCATAGACTCTTGTCTTGGGAGACTCGGGGAGAGTTCATATTTTATGCCATCCAGCTGTAAAATGTGAGGATGATGACGAAGCACGGTCTGGACCACTAAATAAAACCAGAAAGAGAAGATCAATCTCATTTGAGAGGCAAAAACTGGCTCAGCAGTTTGCACACTAACAACTAAGATGTTTGCACACACAGATGGAAGTAAATTTTTCATAATGGCTGGTCAATAAAAGTATCAATTCTCATTTTCTCTCTGTCTCACCAAAGACACTGATTCTCACTTATCTGACTCTGCTGCAACACACACACACAAGCACAGTGAAAACTCACTCACTTTTAATCAGGCTTGACAGGACATAAAGAATACCCCGTCACAACCTGGCCACCCCCCACACATACACTTTATCAACAAACTGACTACACTACTAAAATGTTGCCTTGGCCTTGGCAGACCAATCGGCTAGCAAGAGCCAGAGACTTCATTAGGTATATGCCAGCTGTCTGGCTGACAATCAGTGCATTTTGGATTTTTTCCAACTACCAGCTACTTTGGCAATGACATTTAAATGCATTGAAATTCAATGTATGCACCAGAAATGGAGTAAGATGTGTCAACATTTTATTCTAAAAAGTAAAAATACCAAAAGTGAATGGCAATGCAAACATATCCATGTACTAAAATATATACAGTATCAAACAATGTTGGAAAATTTCAGTGTATAAAACCATGTAAAGTGTTTTGCTTATGAATAGCCATGAATTGGTATCTGGGTAATGTGTGCCAGATACAACCAGATACAAATATGTCTTTTTATGACAGTAATCCTGCATGTTGTGGATTACTCTATTGCTTAAATAAATCAGCTGTTCAGTTCAATAATTTGTTTTTATGGTTCTGAAAAGAAAGAAAGAAAGAAAGATAGTTTTATTACATTATAATACTGAATAATAAACTTTTTGGACATTCAACTTTACTCAGCATTTGTTCTGCAAAAACAACTATTTGTGTAAATACACACACACACACAATATATATACAGTGGGTACGGAAAGTATTCAGACCCCCTTAAATTTTTCACTCTTCCTAGCTATTTCATCAATATCCATTTATTCATCTATTTACACCATTTACTCTGATGTTTAACAGCAGTCATCAGTCATAACCATGCAAATACCTCTGCTCTCCTCAAATGTGATGAGGGCACGCAGAGGTGTCCGACCGATGATAGTGACTGACACGACCTCTCCTCCTCCGTTCCTCTGGCGTAGGAAGTGAATCAGTAGTTTGTCCCGGAGCCGTTCATGGTCCACGTCTGTTGGCAAACCGTGAACGCACACCGCGCGGCCTTCCTCTGCCATCCTTCAGGGCTGCCACCTATTAACACTGATTCTAAGTAAACAAAAGTAGATAAGGGCGGTACATTAGTGCGTCACCAAACAAGCAAATTTGAGCAGATAAATATCGAAACATCTTTTTTCAGCTTTGTCAGTCACTACCTTCCTCATTATGATAAACAAAAGGACATGAAAGTCGTTGTCCTGTCCAGCGTTTGTGTAGTACGGAGCTCGAGCACACAGGAAGTGTAACTAACAACAGAGTTCGTGAGAAGAGACTCAGTTACACTGTTGTTTTTTAATTTGATTATGTAAAGTATTTATTTTTTTCCACCTGTGTGTATCGATATCAACACTTCGTCGCTCTGTTCTCCTTTACAATAGAGGATTACCTTTTCTTAAAGAGTAATTTCTTTGACTTAGTGCCTGGTGTCGTTTACATGAGAAATAAAAGTGAAAGTAAGGACGCAGAAGATGAGAAATTGCGCCTTTACCGAGTATTTATGACTTGAGCCGCATGCAAACTGGGAAATCATGAGTAAAAGTCGTGCACCTAATGTATTAGTTATTTATTATGTAGTGTATTATTTTTTTTGTTATTTATCTAATCTATTTTTATAAATTATTTATGTCCCATGTTACGTCTTAGTTTGCCTTTTAAAAAACATCAGTCATTAAAAACAGCGTTTATGGGTAGATGAAAAAAGAAACTGGGTCAGCCACAACAAAGTATTTTTTATAAACTAATAAAATAAAATTAGGGTTTTGCACATCCCAAGAACAAGATTTTATTCATGCTACGTACTTTTAGACGTTCAATGGTTCCTTATTAATATAAAAATCTTATAAACCAAAAGTGCAATAGCATGCCAAGTCACTCATCTTAAGTTTTCCACAGGCTTTGTAAAAAACAAACTCAAAAACAGCATTCAAATAATTGTATAGTTATAATAAATGTAATACAGTATAATAGTAAGTATTATTCTGGTGAATGCATAAAATAGTTAGCAGTGATTGAGTACTGAATTTTCAAGAACCATGACACCCCAAATTTATCTGGCCCAGCAGGTAATGTTTTGTTTTGAAAACAATAATTTGATGCGCCACCTACAGGCGATGTCGTGCTAGTGCAGGAACATGTTTGCTCACATTCTCCACATTCTAGTCTATTAATACCCAGAGCTCCACCATGTGTCAGGTCAACATTATCTTGTGACAGGCAACTTCGTTCTTGAAGGGACAGCGGTCGTTTTATTAACAGATATAGCAAATATTTCGAGCATTGACCATTATACATACCAAACAAATGTTTTAAGCAAGTTTATCATTGATTATTGAAGTACTGCCTGAACAGGAGGAACTTGAAAAGCGTTAGAGGTAGGAAGACCTTATCTTTAGAGCATATACACTGTTCTCAGTGTTATTATTGCATGTTATTAATGTGATTTATTAGTCTGTTCCTTCAACTCAGGAACAAAACTTGCTGGGTAGGTACCATACATAGGAGTTTTACTTACTCAACTGTGTCCCTATGGCTGATTGGAAAAGGTTATGCCTGCTGAGCAATGCTGCTTTACTAACACTCCTACAGCACAAGGCCACAATTTCTGTGCCAATACTTTTTGTTCTAGGCATACTACTCTAGGACGCTTCTAAACACAAAAGCTCTTGTTGGGATGTCCCGGGACACTTTTGCCTTCACTTCTGCCTCTCTACGCTCCTTAAGGCTGGAGCAGGAGCTGCAGGACTGGGAGGACGCCAGGCGGGCACTGGCACACAGGAGGACTATGGCAAGACGTCCACTACCCGCCGCCCCCAGGCTCCGACACGGAAACGAGAGAATCCAGACAGTACGTGCTCCACCACCACAAATACAGTGCAGAGACGCAGCCATCCATAACATCTTTATGTGTGGAGATATGAAGAGAGTGTATGCCATCCTCAAAGATCCAGGCATGGTGAATGCACTGATGGAGACAGTACATGAGGAGATGGTGTGGGCCCCAGAAATGGGTAGGACCCTTATAGACAGCCATGACAAACACGAACATATGCAATCAGGTGTATTTGGGTGAATTCTCTCTTCTCATTCTTTTGCAGGAATGTGGACTCTTGTCTCAAAAGTAAAGCAGACGTCTGCACTGCGTCTGGCTGCCAGCAGGGGGCACTCTGGCTGTGTCGAGGAGCTGCTGTTTAGGGAAGCAGAGGTGGATGCAGACCCAGGCGGCCGTACAGCTTTACATGATGCCTGTTCAGGAGGCCATCACGTCTGTGTGCGCCTGCTCCTAGACCACGGGGCTGATCCAGACCTGCTTGCTGTCGACGGCAATGCCCCGTTGCACCTCTGCAATGCAGCAGAAACATATCAGTGAGTAGGCCTGCCCTGCATACGGTCAGAGGGAACAAAATGTAAAATATAAGGAATAAAACAAACAAGTATAGAACATGGTCCAAATTACTCACAAATAAAGTCAAAATCTTTCAAAGTACACAATTGTTCGAAGGTTAGGGGTGAGTTTTTTAGATAGATACTTGTATTCAGCAAGTATGCATTAAATTGATCAAAAGTGACAGTAAAGACATTTATAATCAGTGTTATTTTAGTTTCAGTTATTATTTTAATTTTAGTGAAGTTTCAGTAATTTTGTTTTGTGTTTTTGTCATTCTTACTAGTTTTTAACTATGTCTAGTATATTGTTTATTATTAAGTTAATTTTATTTCAGTTTTAGTTATTTTAGTACATAAAGTTAAACTAAAATGTTGCCTTGGCAAGCAGCTGAAATTTTAATTTTTATTTTATTTCAGTTCAGGTATTTTATTTCAGGAAACAAAAGGTGTGTTTTTTTAAGGTTTAAGTTTAGTTAATTATAAAATCCTGTTTATAATGTTACAAAAAAATCAATTTCAAATAAATACTGTTCTTTAGAACTTTATATTTACCCAAAAATCCTGAAAAAAAACCCCAGCACATTAAACAGCACAACCGTTTTAAACACTGATAAACCTAGTTTTGTCACGTGTATGTTCCTGTTGCCCTTATTTGGTTTTTCCTGTGTCCTGTCATCATTGGTTATCAGTTGTGTCCAGCTGTGTTTGATTAATTAGTTCATTTGCTCCCAGGTGTCCCATTGGTATCTGTGCATTTAAACCCTGTGTTTCCCAGTGTTTTTTGTCTGCTGTTAAATGTCATTCTGTCTGCTTAATGTCTCCAGTGTTCCCTGTCTTCCGAGCGTTACCCTCATTAAACCCTTTTGATTTGTATTACTCCTCGTCTCCTCGCTCCTTCGTTCCTTCCTCCCCGAGTGACAGTGACAGAACAGCAGACCCTAACGGAAAGTAAGCGGCGCCTTTTCCCCCGTTTTTTTCCCCATTTTTAAAAGTGTTTTGTTTTGCCGTTCATTTCTCCCCACTCATATGGAGGAACGAGCGAGGTTAATCGCTGTGGCTCAGGCGAACCCCGACCCGATTATCTACGCGAGGGCTTTCGTGCCGCTCGCCCTTGCCAGCTCTCTCGAGGGGGAAACCCTCGTGACGCTGTTCCGGATCGGGATTACTTACCATCGCCCCGCGGAGCTCCCAGACACCACCAACCTCGACTGGAAGGAGGCAGTCATCCGGTGTCTGGAG